CTTTTTCGAGGATTTTTATCCTTGGAACCAATTGGTCTACCACGTTTTAAGTGTAGTCCAGACTCATCTGCTTAACATTTTGTCCTTTCGGGACATCAACTCGAACTTGAGCATTAGCAGCTGGGATATATGATTTAGTAACCCGTGAAAAGTTAGTAAATGCATCTGGTAATTGATTTGCAATATTCAGGAAATAAATTATCTTTTGAACTTCTTGCTCACATTGATTTGTTCGAGGATCTAAATGAGACAGTGAAAGTGAATTCCAATATATCTCATTTCCTAATTGCTTTTGTTCTCCCCCTAATGTTGGGTATACTGATTCATCAAAATGACAATCAATAAACCTTGCCGTAAATAAAATCTCCAGTTCTAGGTTTCAAATATTTTATAATAGAACGAGATTCATACCCAACATATATCCCTAACCTTCTTTTGGGGGACCCCTATCTTTATGCGTTGTGGTGGAGCAATTGGAACATATACCGCACAACCAAAGATTCTAAGATGGGAAATGTTTGGCTCCTGGCCAAAAACCAATTGTAATAGGGAGATGTCATGATAACTGGTTGACCTTATGCGCACAAGTGCCGCTGCATGCAAAATAGCATGCCCCCAAACCGAAACAGGCAACTTTGTCCTCATCAACAATGGTCTAGCTATCAATTGAAGACGTTTAATCAATGATTCTGCTAAACCATTTTGAGTATGATCGTGCAACAGGATGTTCAACTGTTATTCCAGTGGACAAACAATAATCATTAAATGCCTGAGATGTAAACTCACCAGTGTTATCAAGACGAATTGTTTTTATTGCATAATCTGGAAATTGTGCTTTTAACCTTATTATTTGAGCCAACAACCTCGCAAAAGCCATATTACGAGTTGATAATAAGCACACATGAGACCATCTTGTAGATGCATCTATCAAGACCATATAATATTTAAATGGTACACATGCAGGGTGAATAGGCCCACATATATCACCCTGTATCTGTTCCAAAAATGCGGGAGATTCCACTCCAACCTTAGTTGTTGATGGTTTGGTAACCAACTTTCCTTGTGAACAAGCAACACAAGAGAATTTCTTTGATTAAAGAACATTTTGGTTCTTCAAAGTATGCCCATGTGAATTCTTAATTATTCTGTGCATCATATTATAATCGGGATGGTCCAACCGGTCATGCCAAATGATAAAATCATTAGAATCAGTAAACCTTTTGTTTACTACGACATGTGATTCAACCGTACTAATATTTGTATGGTACAACCCAGAAGAAAGTGCAGGTAATTTTTCATGCAAAAGTTTCTTCTCCGCATTTATTGTAGTAATATAAAGGTATTCAACCTTTCCTTCATTCGTAGTCTCAACATGATAGCTATTTTGGCGAATAACCTTGAAACTTAACAAGTTTCTATGAGACTTACTACAATACAATGCATTATCAATTATCAATAATGTTCCTCTAGGTAGTAATAAGGTCGCTCTTCCAGAGCCCTCAATCAATTTTGTACTACCAGATATTGTATTAACATATGCCTTTTGCATTATTAAATGAGAGAAATATTTTTTTTCTCTTAGTATCGTATGAGTTGTGGCACTGTCCAGAAGACACATATCTCCATTACTCATCTTGGATCCAACTGAAGACTAGGAAATTTTATTTATCTTCATAAAAATAAAAATACATAATAAGAAGTACGAAACTTAAAAAAAGAAAATTTAAGTACATGAACTTCAAGTAAGACATTAAAAACACATAATATTATTCATTTCCCAATTCAATTATCAATCTTCAATCCAGTTTAATTATCAATCTTCAGTTGCGATCCCCGAAGAAGTCCTCAGCTTCTAGATGAGTAATATCATCGAGCACATCAAAAGCGTCATCTTTCAATGCTAAATTCGCCTCAACATTCTCATCATATTTTTTAGAAGACCCTGTCTGAGCATCATCTTTGAGAGTCAAATGTGACTCTACTCGGGCATTAGAAGAGGAGGCACCACATTTATTCCCTTTCCTTTTAAGGAATTTTGATACAGCCTGACAAAATGCTCAGGTGCCCGACATTCATTTTTCCAGTGACCTTTAAGGCCACAACGATGATAGTGATCGCCCTTGCCTTTTAAAGGATTATTTTGAGAACTCATATTGTTCTCCCTTTTGTTATGATTACCACCTCGACGATTATTATATCGTCTTTTGCCTTTGCCACGTCCACGCACATAATCATGGCCCTGATTATTTTGTCTTATTTCAGACTGGCCGTGTGCTTCTACCCCATGGGCCTCCGGTAATGGAGCACTTCCAGTGGGACGGGCTTCATGATTTTTCATCAAAAGGTCATTATGCTGCTCAGCCACCAGAAGGCATGAGATTAATTCAGAGTATTTTTTAAAACCCTTTTCACGATATTGCTGCTGTAATATCATATTGGAGGCATGAAAAGTAGTTAGTGTCTTTTCCAATATGTCCTCATCTTTTATAACTTCCCCACATAATTTTAATTGGGAAGTGATTCTAAATACAATAGAGTTATACTCAATTACGGTTTTATAATCTTGAAACCATAAGTGCATCCACTCATAACGACCCCTTGGCAATACAGTTGCCTTGAGGTGGTCATACCTCCCTTTCAAACCTATCCACAATTCAAGTGGATCTTTCACTGTTAAGTATTCAACCTTCAGACTTTCATCATGATGATGACGAAGGAAAATCATAGCTTTCGCTTTATCCTGACTTGATGCCTTATTTCCTTCGATTATACAATCACCAAGACCCTTAGCGGTAAGGTGAATTTCAGCATCAAGTACCCATGATAAATAGTTCTTTCCAGAAATGTCAAGTCAAGCTTTGATAAATTCGACATGATGAAAACTATCATAAAATAGTTGAGTTAATAACATGATTTTGATTTCTTTATAATGAAAGATAAATTAATATTTCAAATGATTAAGAATTAGTATAAAATTTATTATAAGTTAAAGTAGATATTAACGCCATTTTTTTTGGTGAGTTTCAAGTCATATTTAATACAATAATATTCTTCTTTATGACACACCAATATACTTATCATAATGTATGAAAATACTTACGAGTTATTTTAACTAGCATGCTATCATATTACTTAGTAATTAATTTAGAGTTATAAGTTAGTAGCATATAAATAACATAACAATATAAACTTGAAACGTATTGATTATTATGCCTAGTAAAGTATCATAATAATAGCTAAATCAACTTATATATGCAGCTATTAAATTATCGATCAAAGATTTATGCAATTCCTATTAGAGGTGTTATAAACATATAAATGTATACCTGACTCTAAAAGAAAGTTGATTAACTTTTAGAATTTAATTTCGAATTAAGTAGATCTCAGTTGGTTAGAGACTCGTGCTGATAACGTGTTGTAAAACAAGAGGAAAATGCAAGAATACTTAAACAAGAAAGTAAGGCAAAGTGTGATGGAAAGTATAAAGTTGAGAGCCTTATTTTAATCTCTTCAATTGTGTATTTCTTAAGGGTGAAGAAGACCCTTTTATAAGAGGTAAAAATCATTCGTTTACTACCTTAACCAAAATACGTTAGTAATCTTTAATTCTTACATTAAATTAATACATGCATTACGTTAGGTTGATGAAAAGAAACATCCATATTAAATGGATTTGTAACAAAAAGATAGTTTTAAAAAAAAGGATTTTGTCACATCACGAGAGATTAGTAGTCAAATTTGTTTTTATTTTAAACAAATCATCTTGAAAAATTAATTTCCACTTCTATTTTTTGTTAAAACTTATATGTAACAACAGAAAAATAGCAAAACATAATAACAAAAAAAAATGATCACATCATGAGAGATTAGTAGTCAAATTTCAATAAAAATCAAGAGAAAAAAAAATTAATTGCTTCTTTGAATTTGGATAAGTTAGCTCGGCATACCGAAATTATTCCATATTTGTGATAATGACAAAATAAATGTACTTGAATGAAATATTTAAGTTGATCAAAATATCACGATAAAAAATATAACGTTGATTTTTAAAATATATATCCCTATTTAGTAATTATTTTTCTCTCATCAAAAACCCAAAATACAGTTATTTTTTTAATCTTTCGTTTTAATATTATAAAACTCTATTAAATATATTATTATTATATTTTCGATCTCGATGCCAATATCTAGTTGCCAGAGCCTAACATGGATATTGATCTAAGAACAGTTGCGTTGCAACTTGTGTTTCATTGTCTTTTTGATAATGTTATTTGATTGCTACCAACAAGGGTTTGTGGTGGAGTGGTAAGTACTCCTTCATCCTTAATCAAGGGGTTTCGAGTTCGAATTCCCTTGGGTACGGAGTCGCCTTTGTTAGGGAGCGTTTTACCTCCAATGTGGGACTTTCCAGTGCGAATTCGGATATAGTCGAGCTCCAACGTATGTACCAGATATCGGATGAGAAATAAAAAAAAAAAAATGTTATTTGATTGCTACTTTTCCTCTTAAAAAAATATAAATAAATAAATCCAGACAGCAAGTCACTAGTCATGGATGAAAATAACAAACAAACAAAAATATCAACTTATTTAACACCAATAATGCTTATCAATTAGATATTATATATTATATACTACTATTATAAGATATCAAGAATATTCAAAGAGGTTATAAGAAATATAATTATATTACAAGAACTATATATATATACTAGTATAGCTAATTTACACGGCATCGACGGTGATTGGTTAACTTATTCTCAATAAATTATATAGAACTAGAAGCTGACGTACCGATTCAATCAAATTTAATAATTTTTAGAACAAAGTTTATATTTTTGTAATAGTAAATTTATTATATATATATATAGATCTAAATTCAACTACTTATAATTTGATCTTATTATTTAAATTTTGAAATTTATAAATTTCAAATTCTAAACGGATCCTTTCACCATTAGTTTTTATTAATATCTTTTGTGTCTTTCGAAAAAAAAGTCGTATTAGATTTAAATTTTAAACGGAGGAAGATATCAAGCAATGTATCTGGCCATGTTCTATTACCACTTACTTATTATTTAATTAAATTTTAAGTTTTGCCTTAAAATTTACACTTTTGAGGAAAAGTCGAATGAATTGGCCTTTAGGATTAAGTTAACGTTTGATCATATATTTTTAAATATTTTTGAAAAAAAATAGTTTGGGTGAAGTTTCAATACATGTTTTGGTCATAATTTTTGGAAAATATATTTTACTTTTTTTTAAAATGAAACATAATTTATATATATAAATTTCAAAAAAACTATTACAAATATTTAGAAGTTTGACATAATTTTTATAATGAACTAGATAATATGCTATTTAAAAATTATAATACGATATTTTGGAAAAAAACTAATAATAATAATACGATTATCATCTATTATATTTAGTTACAAAGACCATCGACGCAGAAAGATAAATGATAATGATGGTATATAACTATCTTTTACTATAATATTTTCATATTCTACAAATAATCTTTTAATGAGAATGCGTTTAATGAGTAGTCGGGTAGCTAGATAGAATTATAGTTGAAATCATAAAGGATGATTTATTTATTTATTATAAAATATAAATATTTAGGGTGAGTTTAAAATTTTAAAAGAATTGAGAAACTAGAATTTGGCCCCAAGACCATTTTTTCCAGATTTTGGGGTCTTGTGTTTTTTTTCCAATTTTTTCTTTGACAAATTTTATGACTCTATTTTTTTTCAAAAACTATTTGCAAGAATTATGACTAAACGGTCCTAAGACACACGCAACCTTTTAATTTGTTTTATTACTCCCTTTTATTTAATTTATGTGTTATCGTTCAAATTTTGAAAGTCAAATAATTTTTCGATAAATATTTGACGATAACTAGTTCAAATAAAAAACTCATACGGCGAATAATTCATGTATGAAACTAAAAAATTGATATACTTTAGGTGTATGAGTTTCTTGTTTGAACAATCTATCATCAAATATTTATCGAAACATATCCCAACGAGTATTTACTTTTCCTAGCTTGAAATATCACCATTGTTCAGATAGAAAAAATGAACAACTGATAACTACAATATGATTCTATAAACATTTGATGATATTCCAGATAAAAGAAATATCGTACACATAATATTTCAATATAAAACTCAAAAATCAAAATATTGGTATTGGATATTAGGTGATATATATGAAGTATCTTCCTCTACTGCTCCCTCAAAGGTCCTTAAATCGTGCACTCAATAACTTCCCAAATAAACTAAAACTTGAAAAAGACAAATAATAAATTAGAAAATTAATCTAAAAACCAAACAGTTGTAAATTGAAAGTGGCTGGTGAAGAAAAGAGAAAGTTAAGTAAAGATTCTAATTAGAAAAAAAAAACAATATAGTAATAATACGTTCACTTCATCTGTCTATTCATGTGTGGTCCATTTAATGAATTTGGTTGTATTTTGACAATGATATAAAGGGGTTATTCAATTTCACAATTTAAACACTATACTTCATCCATTTCATATTACTTAACTTATATCGATCTGATACATTCTTTAAAAATATATAGTATGATTAACGATCCAACTTAATTTCAAAACAATAAAAATTGTGATAGAGTAATAAATATTATTTCATCCTTAATCAAAAGATCTCGAAAACGAATTCCTTTAAATATAGAATCGTCTTTATTAAAAAGAGTTTTAATTTTATAAAACTTCAATACAGATTCGATAAAGATAAATAATTTAATCCATAAATCCAAGTAGGTCTTGTATTCAATGAAGCAAAATATAGACCACCTACCGTTTGATTGATTAGGCATAGCAACTTATCTATATTTGGGTGTAAAAAGTCCACGTAAATAAATTTCTCATCATAGATTCAAAATTATTTTGTCTTTGGGCAGATAAGATTCACAAAAATTTTAAAAGAAGTGTTAGCTGCAAATATTACGTTTATTAGAAATTAATAAATATAATATATAATTTACTAAAATTATATATATTAATTAAATTTCTCTTTAAAATTAAACATCACTATGAAGATGAAAAATTAGGGTATAACTGAAAAATATACTCTTAATTTTATCTTGAATTTGTAAGATAACACTTTTTTGGGATAAAATAATTTTGCTAACGTAGGGAGCTGGGAGCAATATGTTAAGTAATAAGAGGGTTGTTTAGTTCATGGGCGAAGTTAATTCTTAGATTATAGTTTAAATTGGGACAAAATTAGGGGTGGACGTTCGGTATTCAGTTCGGGATTATTAAATTTCAGGTTTGATAATTCGGTAATTGATAGTTAAAAGTAGATATCAAATATCAAAATTTTAAATTTCGATTCAGTAATCGGTAAATTAAATTTTGGTTTGGTATGGTATTCGGTTAGACCGTATTGAAGTTGTAGCCGATTGT